GTAAAGATACATTAATAGTTTGTTTAACAGCACTGTTGGCTGTTGCTGTTTAAGAAAGAGGGAAAAAAAAAAACCTGACGGGAACCCCAAATGATGAGATGTGTGTGGGGGCAGCCATTGCCATGACAACTGACTCCACAGTAGATTAGGAATACCAACAAAGGGTTTCTGTTTGTGTGTGCAAGTATTTTTTTTTTTAAGGCTGAGATTCTGACAGTAAGTCTGAGAGGGGGGGTGGTGTGTGATGTGCGAAAAAGGGAGAAAAAAGAGTACATAGGCAATAAAATCAGAGTGACTGGAATTCTGAAATGCCAAATCAGAAACACCATAACCCTGCTCTAGGGGCAACGGATAGAAAGGATCATCTTTGTCTCTCAACCCTGCCTAACTTCCCTTCCCAGGTATCAGCTACCCAGTCCAGGGCTGTGAGTAGGCCAGATCCCATACTCATTTAAATTGGTAATTAGAGTTAAGGTCTCTGCAAGTATCACCCGCTGCCTCTTCTTCTCCTTCAGGGAAAAGAAAGGGTGGGAATCCACAGCCTCTCCCACATCCGTCCCCAGGGTGAGTCTGGGATTACTGCCTAGGAAAGATATCTGTTTCATCCCCCAGAACCTTCCTGCCTAGCCTCATCAGAAATTCAGTTAAAATTACCAACGGTGGCTTTAAAGAGCAAAAGAAGTCAAATTCTGGGGAAAAGATATGCTTAAAAAAGGGCAGAATAAAGAATGGAGGCAGCAGTGGCCCAAGAAGAAGGCACCCCAGGGGTAAGGTGGTCCCGTGGAATGAGGCAGCTATTGCATCCAGCCTAGGGGACCCCGCGGGCTGGCCTGGGGGTCATCAGAGGGAAGGTCTTGATGGGAGTCCCAAGACAGAGGACCTCCACGAAGGGGAGTCACACGGAAGCCTGGTGTCTTCTACCCCAACTAGCTGACTTCACGGTGCTGACCTCGTAAAATGGCGAAGAGAAAGCCCTCAAGGGAGGTAGATATTGTCCAGGGGCCAGGGCCCTGATTCAGGGATATATGAGATGATGAGGTGGGTACATATGAAAGACCCTTGCGTGCTTTCACCCTTCCCAGTGACCTTTCCATGGAAAATCTCTAACTCAAGGAGTTTATTGATTTGAACAAAATATAACAGTTTCCCTGGCGTAACTTACATATGTAAAGTGAACAAATCTTAAACGCACTGACAGCTCTATGAAGTTTGACGTT